CGGGATGTTGGCATTCAGAATTTCCTTCAAGTTTCCAACCAAAGAGTCGTTTATATCCCTAATTTGATATTCGTGTGGCTTATGGAAAGTTTGGATATGCCAGGTTTCTCCTGAAAGCTAGGTTCTAGAGTTGCCGATAGTCACAAAGTTAACAAAGATTTTTCTACGTATTATAAACTAGCTGGCTCACACGGGTCCGCCCGGCTTTGTCAAAACTCTATGATAAAGTTCCTATCCCTATTCCTGTACAACCTTCTGCCAACTTCTACATACCAACTCCAACTTCCCATTCCCGCTATGTTAGTTATCAGCACGCTCACTTATCCCTGTGCGAATTGTCAGCCCCGTAGATCGAAATTTACAAAAAATCGATAAAATCGATGAAACTAATAGATAATTTCAAAAACAAATATTGTATTCGTACTCAGCATGCTCGATTACCCCCTTGTGCCGATTCCCAGCCCCGTAGCTCAAATTTTGCAAAAAAAATCGATGAAATCGATAAAAGTAGTGGATAATTCTAAAAACTAATATTGTATTCGCAATCAGCATGCTCAACCCCCCTGTGCCATCTCCAGCCCCGTAGGTGAACTCTGCAAAAAAATTGACAAAAATCGATAAAGTCGATATCGATCGATGACGAAAAGTAGCCTATGACACCCGCCGGGGCCCGAAGTGTATGTGTGCCAAGTTTGGTCCGGATCGGTTGGAAAATGGAATTCTCTATTTGGAATATACGTACAGACAGACATACATACAGACAGACAGACAGACAAACTGACATTCAGCTTTATATATATATGATAGAAAGTGCCTCCTGCTCTAGGAGTCCTCGAAAAAATGAATTCAAAGAATTGCAAGTGTCAGAGAAATTCTAGCTTTTGTACAAAAAAGTGTGAAAACGGAAGGAGCAAAGGTATCATGAGACTAAATAAGCTACAAAAAGCATCCACTGTTTGATTGACAATGGCCAACTTGTGAAAATCCCATTAAATCAGATGATTAGTCTTGAGCTTTGCTGTGATTGTCTGCAGGAACGAACCTAGGCAGAAATGTTCTACTCTATCTTAACTTCATGTGATGGAAATGTTTTTGAAATTTCATAACGTTACTCAAAGAACTGTAGCGATTATGGACTCCGACTCCGCAGCGGTCTTGGCATTGGTAGCGTTGGAGGCAACTTTGGGAGGATTGTAGTAACATGTACAATTCCCATTGTGTTGGTGAATGTAGAGTATAAAGCAAGTACGAGAAGCGTGCTAGACCTGAATTTCAAGGATCCACATAAGCCGACTGAGTGTAATAAAATCCAGAAAGTGCTCTAAAATCCCTAAAAAGCACGCAAAACCCATAGCTTTTCGGTTTTTCAAACAGCGCTCTCATTTTTCAAAATTGAAGCGCCTTCATCGTGTCGATAGCCACCGCTAACACCGTCGCCAGCAGTTGCTAACAGCTTGTAGCCGATAGCAGCCGTCAGCCGCAGATTGCCACTTTGGCACTGTCCCATATGAGATGACTCAAAAAGTGAAAATTGTGCAAGAACGAAAAAATTCGTATGAAAATCTTGTGAACATTTGTAAGGTTTTAGGAGTTGTGGCAATACATATGTTGATGAAATAGAATTTCATTTGGGAAAATTACAGATTTGAAACAGCATTTATTTGTGAATTTGCCCCAAACCGCTTGATAGCGAACCTACGGGTCGCTAGTCTTATATACAGGGTGTCCCAAAAAGATGTGCACACTGTTTGATTGTAAAAAACTCTTTTGTGGTGAAGTGTTTCGGGAAGCTTTAGGTACCATTTTGTAGAGCGAGGTTCAACCTAGATTTACAGTGTAGAGCGGATCGCCGATCTCCCATTCTTACTGTAGGATTACGGTAGAAACTTTGAAGAGGGTTTTAAGCCATGAAATGCCATATTTTGTTCCAAAATGAAACCAAAACAACCTGAAAACTCTCACACTGGGCTAATTAGAGTTGCTGATCCTAAATGTGAAATTCGCAATTTTTCTTAATGCTTCATTAAAAAATTATGCGAGGTGAGCAATAGCGGCCATTTTTTTAATGTTCCTAAAAAGTACGGTTACACCGTTTGGAAAGCATCGCAGCCTTGTAAAGAGTTGAATATTGAACTCAGCGTCCATGAAAACCCTAATACACAAATTTCCACATTTCTTTGAAAATTTTTGAAACGGCCCCTTTTTTCACAGTGAACCATATGTTTGAAGTTTCTACCGTACTCCTACAGTAAGAATGAATGACCGGCGATTCGCTCTACACTCTAAATCTAAGTTGAACCTCGCTCTACAAAATGGTACCAAATTTGTCTCGAAACACTTCACTACAAGAGAGTTATTTACAATCAAACAGTGTGCACATCTTTTTGGGACACCCTGTATAAAGCTGAATGTCTGTTTGTGTGTTTGCATGTCTCTATTTACTTATGTTTCAATTACAAATTTTTATTCTAAATCGATTTGGACCGAACTTTGTTCACATACATTCGGTGAGGGAAAATTGTCATAGGCTACTTTTGGTCACCGATCAATATCGATTTTACCGATTTTTACCAGTTTTTTTTTACAAAATTTGAGCTACGGAAGTGGGGGTTGGTATAGGGGAGGGGGTAAGTCAGCATGGTAATTACGAATACAATCTTAGTTTTGAAATCACCAATTTTATCGTTTTTGTCTATTTTTTACAAAGTTCGAGCTAGCGGCTAAGAGTTGGCATGAATGAGCACGCTGAATACGAAAGCGGAATGGGGAGCTGGCAAATAGAAGCGGGCACAGGGAAAAGTTATGTATACAGGAATAGCGACGGTGACCTTTACCATAGTGTTTTGACAGGGCCGGGCGGAGCCGGCTAGTACAAAGTAAGTTTTAGGAATTATCGGTTACCCTTACCGATCGGTTTTTGCTGGATTTGAGCTACGGGGTCTGGGAGACGGAGGGGATAGGTGAGCATTCCGAGAACTATCGGCTACCTTTACGGATTTCATTGATTTTGGCAAAGTTTAAGCTACGGGGCGTTGAAGGGGTAAGTGAACATGCTGGAGCATGCTGCACGAAATCAGTGGAGACATGATGCCGAAATCCTGTTATGAATTCGGCGATGTCGGCGATGTCGGCGACTTTGCGTTTTTCGCCGACTTTGGCGAATTCGCCGACATCGCCGAAATCGCCGAGAATTTGCACGTTCTGTCACAACTGTATAGAGTATGCCCTGTCAATACACTGTGATAGAAACTAATACTCTGTGCCTGCTGGTTTAACATATTGGCAGCATGAAATAACATGTTCGCAACATAACCAACATGCCCCCATTGTCAGAACTTGTTGACAGTTAGCTTTGGAGTCAATATTCTGCTGCATATTGTCAGCATGTCAGTGACTCGGCATTTCAGAGGCGCAGGTCAGGGGGTAGCCAACTATGAAGGAGACGATATTAAAAGATGCAAATTTCTTAAAGTTCTGCGCAAGAAATTTTGCGATTTTGATTTTTCAGGATATGTTCTATGTAAATTAAATTGTTTCGAATTAATTATCTGTGCCGCCCCTGTGAACCACGGTCATGTTACGCGGTGCCATCTAAATCCTATCGACAAGACCAGGTGGCGCCGCCCAACATGAGCTGGGGTCCACAGGTACGGCACAGATAATTAATTCGAAGCCATGCAAAACTTCATGGAGCATATTCTGGAAAGTCAAAAAATGCAAAGCTTTTTTGCAGGATAGTTTTGAGAAATTTGGCTATTTGAATACCGTTCCCTTCACAGTTGGCTACCCCGTGATCTGCGCCTCTGAAATGCAGCACGAATCATCAACATACTGACAACATGCAGCAGCATCTTGACATCAGAGCAACTGCCAACAAGTTTTGACAATGAGATTGCTTATGAGACTGCGCGACGACGCTGGAACCAACGCCACTAAAGCTGGAATGCTTCTGCTTGCTTTGAGATCTGGTAAACCGTCCAACAGTATGAAAAAGCAACATAGGAGTAACAGACAAAGATCCAAACGGTGCTTTAAGGTTGGAACAAGAAACTACCATAGACGTCTTCACGCCACATTTCGCGCTCCATAGGCGGTTAACAAGTATGAGCTAGTCGTTACTCCATTAGAGCGAGAGCCTATACCTATGGTTACTTTTACATATTGTGTGTGCTAATAAGTATGAGCTAGTCGTTACCCCATTCAAGCGCTGGAAGGACCTCAACGCTCATTCTTTTATCTTAACCAAAACCTTGAATTTTTCCCTCAAAAAACGCTCGTAACTCCCATTCCAAAAGCGCTTTGCAGATAACGAAAGCAGATTTAGAATCAGCGCTCCATGCTTTAAAAGATAGTGTACATCTCACATAGAAACTGCACTTCGACCAAGTATTCTTCCCTTGTCAAAATTAGCTGTAAGCTTCTAAATATGGCAGTCTGACAGCAACAAGTGTTACGGTCTCTACTAGGCGTTTCTTTGAAATAAGAACTGGTAATAGGATCACTAGATATAAAAAGACTAGCATAGATAGCATAGATTTTTTTAGACACACACAACATGTAAAAGTTACCATAGGTGTAGGCTCTCGCTCTCCTCTGTACAGTGAGATTAAGAAGGATCCCTATACTATCTATGCTCTCTCCAGCTTTAGCAGGTCTGCAACACGCTTTGGATCAATACTTTTTACATCAAGGTAATTGCTCTGGTCAATTGATAAGACGATAACATACCATTTGGAACGACAGACAGATGCTGACCAACCACTAGCAGAATGAACAGCGCGACTTGTTAAATATTGCAATTTTGTTTGCAGATGCAGGCAGTATGGGACAAGTTATAAATCAGTAAAAATGCTTTTTCTTAAAGTTCGTACGGATCTTGTTGGTTTGCTCCTAAGCCCGTTTATAATAAGAGTAAAATTGCAATTATTGACCATGCATAGCTGCTGTTAATGCAATGTATTGCAAATACTCTAAATCTATATTTTTACAGAACATTTCAGATATATTATATGGACAGCAAAAGGACCAGCTACCTACGCAGAAGTGGATCGTAACGTTTTCCGTTCAAACAACTTCAAGATTGTTGAATACAATTATCCTATTCCAAAACTGGAATTTATACACAGACCCTCTTGTGCAAAGGTATTTTTGAAACCTCTTTGTTTTGAGAATTATCAAAAAATATGGCCACTAACGGGCCATTCTTAATCATGCATGGCTGCGTTTTGAGTTGCTAACATAAACTGTGTCTGTTATTCTGATTTGTTTCAAAAGACATAGGCTCGTAGTAAACAACCGTCGAACGTCTTCCCTGGGGCGGAACTGAGCCCATCTCTTGGCGCCTTAGTCCAGCATTCGGCATCTATCAATTTGGATGCTGATCGCGTTGTAGATGGGTAAAGGTTGCGCGTTTTCAAGGAAGAAACAGCAATACCACTTGCACAGATACGGATAAATGGGTAAATGACTGGGTTGCAACGCTGTGGCCCTGGTTCGAGACGGGCCAGAGGCGTCTTGTTTGGCTAATTCCATTGTCGCAGCGGTTATTATCAGTCGATGATAACCTCTCAAGAATTTTACCTAGCAAATGGACGAATAGAACAAAGTTATGATATTTCAGCATAATTCGACAAAAAACAAAATTTTTGAAACGGAGAACGGGGATAAAGTGAGATGAATAAACAACTTTGTATCTATGCATCCTTCGAAAATTGATGCAAGAAAACAACAAGAAAGGGAAAACGTGTTTTCTTATTTCCGATCCTGCGATCAACTGTGCATGGATCCTCCCTATCCTTATGTCTCCGAAATCGTGTAGTTTTGCGCTAAATTCGTCTGCTTTATTAGGTGCTCTGAGGCGTTTCGTAAGTTACTCCGGAGCAACTTACGGAATTTCTCCTCAAGTCTCCTTTTTAGCACAAGTTTGGGGATCTTTGCTCATATCATCTCCCATGACTCGGCAAAATCATCTCTATTGAGCGGCCATAGAGGGAGGGGGTTTTAGTTTAGGTGATTCAGCAGTAAAACGCTATTTGTTAAAGACGTCATGATGCACAGTGATTCACACTAATAACTCCTATGGACCGTATTTGATCAAATTTTGAAGTTTCCAAATTTCAAACATCATTAACTTCATTTTGAAGATGAGTTAGCTACCTCTTACTCGAAATAAATCACTATCCTTTGCCCAAAAAAGAAATTTCACTTCAATTAACCGCATATCGTGGAATTAGGAGCTAGTCAAACTCTCGTCTGTTCCATTTTCGCTTTTCACTTTTGGCTCAACAACTGTACTTAGACTAAAAAGGCAATTCTCACTCATATTTTTCCCGCAAAAACTAAAAGATCTTAGTTATTGAACATTTATAGTATGGTCGCCTCCCTTCCAATATACGTAGTAGGCAGACTGGCACACTACCGTAACCCAATAACTGCCACAAAGATAGATTTGAAGAAATGGCTATATTCTTCTTTAGAAGAGACAATTTCGGAAGAAATTTCCGCTATGAAGAGAAAACTATTTGGGTGCTGTATTGACATGGAATCTTGTGTGTTAGAAAGTTTTAAAAGTAAGCTAATGAGGTGTGGCACAACCCCTCAAACGGTGTGGCAGCCACATCTTTCAAGGGATTTGCCACACCCCATACTTAAGTTCAAAGAAACTTCCTTGAATGGTATGTAAATGTTTCAACAACCTTAACCTCGTAGTTTTCAAAAGAGTAACTTGATCCTGATTTGTCCTCTTTAGTTTTCATAACAATCGCTGAAAGCACAACCATTGAAAGCGAAAATAGGGACAAACGGTAGCTGGCTATTAATCTATAGCTGGGCGGTGGTTTGAAGTGGAGCCTCTCATGTGAGAAAGTAAGGAGTGTGCTTTGTAAAGAGTGCAAAAACAGCTATCTAACTCATTTTTAACACAAAGTCAATTATGTTTGTAAAATGACAATTTCAATTAGGTGGACCAATATTTGAAAACCTCAGAATTCCTAAAACTTGGTTCACATGAGACAAATAACACCAGGACGTCAACTCTGCTTCGCAGACTCGCACTGGTCATTATGAATTTAAGTGAACATATGTGGTAGTATATCACATCCTCATGGTTTTCACTTGAGATTGCGAATGTTTTCTAAAAATAACCAAGCATTTGGACATGTCGAAAAACTTACTGAATCTTTTTCAAGTTGATATTTTTTGTTATCTCCAACCATCAAAAAGTGGAAGTGCCGACGTGAATTTGCGCTGAAAGCCTGCAACGGCCTGCTCGCTAAACTCTCGAGAGTGAGATACTCGATGCTTATTTTTATTTTTATTTTTTGCACACTCAGGCAACGGATAGGACCCCTCCGCCGGAGAAATGGCAGGGTAGCGGCGTTTCCCCAGCGGTGGGCCTCCCATTTGTCCGGCGGAGCCCTCCCATTTCTGCTCCGGAGACCTCCCATTTCTGCTCCGGATACCTCCCATTTTCTGCTCCGGAGACCTCCCATTTTCTGCTCCGGATACCTCCCATTTTCTGCTCCGGATACCTCCCATTTTCTGCTCCGGATACCTCCCATTTTCTGCTCCGGATACCTCCCATTTTCTGCTTTGGATACCTCCCATTTTCTGCTCCGGAGCCCCCCGATTTTGTGCTCCGCAAGTCTGCCGCGGCATACTGTAATTAGCCCTAATTAAAGGCAGCTTCCAGACAGATCTGGACCTATGGGGCTTTTACATGGAAAGTACTTTTGGGGCCCTAACTAAGGCACTGCCGAAGCAGCAGCTCATGTAGTGCTCTAATGGCGGAGATATTCCCCTCGAAACAGACCCCCGCGAACGTATTCGCATGCATTCATGGCAGTTTCGCGCCAGGATCCACGCTTTGCGCCATGAATCCATGCGAAACACGGTCGCGGGGTCCAGTTTCGAGCAGAATATCTCAGGCGTTAGAGCACTACCTGAGCTACCGGTTGGGTAGTAGCTTAGTTAGGGCCCCAAAAGTACTTTCCATGTAAAATCCCCATAGGTCCAGACTTGCCTGGACGCTGCCTTTAAGCTCCAAACCCCAATTTTGTCTCTAAACCCCACCCAAATTAGCCGAATAGGACCCCCCCGGGTAGGAGTTCAGCGCGACCCTCACCCCGTACTCTACCCCCTCCCTCTCACCCCTAGCGTTTGTGGATAGAAGATAGAAGAAAGAACGGAGATAAGACATTTATTTCAAATTTTTCAAACTTCTTCGAAAAATCATCTTATATCGTTAATCATTTCACACCCACTGGTGTAAAAGAATGAACCTTAGGATAGATAGGCTTGATTTTGAATTGAAGACCAATCAATGAAAATATCAGACATTTTGGATCCTGGATAAGGTAGTAGAATGAACGCAACCATCAGGACCCTGAATGTTAATTCATTAGACTGGTGAATTCCCGATCAAGAAAATTGAGGTAGCACTGTTTTCAAAAGTAAGCGTTGCATCAGACTTTGAAAATGCTCACAAACTCTTCTCCGTATTATCGAAAGATTTAGGATAAAACATATCATCAGCACTAGAGTGAAAATAAAAAGTGGAAGTGGTCTCACATTGCTATTGTTTACATCGCGATTGATCCAATCTTCCCCGTAGTGAGCGAAATAACTCATTGCTCATTGAAATCTCAAGCTTCTGCCGAACCACTTTATCCGGGCTCTGGCCTCTTTGCGTCATCGTCCTGAAAATATTACTTCACAAACATAAAAACGAACCAAATTTGATCAAGACACCGACCTGCATGATTTCCGAGTCTTCAACAATCCTTTTCAGTTCCTGAAGAACGACAAGCGAAATGAACGCCTGAAACATGTTTATACGAACAAAAATAGCGATCGAGAAAGACTTCCTACTGCCTTTCGATGAGGGCGTCGTTTTTGTAGTTGAATTGCTGGCATATCGCAGTTGTCCATTCCGCAAATCGAAACTCCAGAAATCCAAGGCCAAACTTGTCCTGCAAGCACTTAAAGAAGAAACAAACGAAAATAAAACATACACACATAAGCACACACATACACATAAACACTTACACTCACGCACACACAACACACACAAACGCATGCAACACATACACACACAAACGCATGCAACACATACACACACAAACGCATGCAACACATACACACACTCACACAAACATGCAACACATACACATACAGACACACACTCACACAAACGCATGCAACACATACACACAAACATACATATATAAATACATAAACACACATGCACACACATAAACATACATACATATAAAAACACACATACAAATACAAACATTTACACACATAAGCACACATATACAAGTAAAAATTTGAAAAAAAAAAAGAAAAGTGCACAAGCGTCGAATACAAAACCTTTGAATACGATAATGCATATCTAATCAATCAATGGTAACTAACCTGTGCCTTTCCAAGTAAGGGTGTCCTTGCTTGATTCTGGTTCTCTGCAAAATAAAACATTAGAGAAACGAAAGAATAAAACAAACACAAATAAATATTAGCGAATAAGCGAACGTTCAAAACGTGACAGGGTGACGCCGCAATGAATGATTTGCAACGACGCGCCAAATCGATACGCAGCCTGCTCCGGGGCCCTCCCATTTCTGCTCCGGATACCTCCCATTTTCTGCTCCGGATACCTCCCATTTTCTGCTCCGGATACCTCCCATTTTCTGCTCCGGAGGCCTCCCATTTCTGCTCCGGACCCCTCCGATTTTCTCCGGCGCGGCTCTTCCAAATCTGGCGGACTCGCGCCGGGCGAATTTCTCCGGCGCGAGTCCGCCAAATCGGCAGAGTCGCGCCGGAGAAATGGCGTACCTTTGCAGCAGGGCCGGAGAAGCCTCCCACTTGCCTGCCAGTCATGTCACCGCGACGGACCGCCCATTTGCCCCTCTCTCATTGGTCAACTGGGTCCGGCGCGACTCTGGCAGATTCGGACTGTCCGGCGGAGGGGTCCGGTCGATTGTCTGAGCATGTATTGCATTACATTAAGAAGTGAAAGTGAGCGTCCAACTCATCGAACTCAAAAAGGGAGATAGTAGCATATAACAGGCAAATCGCCATCAGGTCTTCTAAATGAATACAAGATTTCGTATATGAAGCAGTGGTTCTTGCAAGAATATATATAGGTAATAGTTTGCACGCCAGTCGGTCAAGTATACGCTAATGCGTCCTCAACACCAGACGGCGTGCCTGGAGCCTTCGAAATAAACACCAGCTGAACCCCTGTCTTACCAGGCTTTCCAGTAAAGAGGACATTTTAGACATAAGCTAAAAAACTGGCGGGGTATTCTAACGCAGTAAGAACTGAGCGATGATATATAGGATAGAAATCAACTTGTTTTAGAATGTAGACACTGCGTCACGATCTCAACATGTCTTAAGAACACTTACGAAAGATCTTATCTTAACGCAAAAAGTCATAGCTAAGCGGGAATTTTTTGAAGCTTGGCCGAATTGTTTTGACACAAAATCTTCGTGGTCAGACAATTAGAAAGCAACAAGTACAACCAGCAAAGGAGCATCTGTGCTCCTCGAAAATATGGCGCTTGCTCCATACCTTCAAGCTAGGAGCACAATGTTCTGATTAGATTTACGAATCTGACAAGGACGGAAAGTCCAAAAATTAGACAAATTTAAAAGCACCTTCTTTCGAAATATTTCATGAACCAGTAAAATACTTGCCAAATTTGTCTTCAGTGCAAACTTTTCAAGCTAAAAACAGCTAATCTGGTTTTATATCCAGGCGCTTTTGGGTCCTCCTTTGCGCGGTGATAGACGATAAAATAAGATTTTAATGGATGTTTGTTGAACTTTTTTGAATTTAACAGTATGTTTTTCAAGCTGGGGTTTCAGGTTGGACTACAATTCCATTGTATGCAGGAAATAGGCTTTGAATAACCACACCCAGATATATTCATCTGTAGCATGTAATTCTTAAGCAAGAAGTACTTAATTCGTGAAGCCTTAACAATAATATCAGTTTGGGTTGAAAACTTAAAAGGAGGCTCATTAATGACACCCAGGTCACGAACAACACTCTGCAACCTTGAAGAAAGCCCATAATAAATTTCACTCCAAATCCAAATCCCAAGGTTTTACCCTTATTGTTAGCTACAACTCTCAATTTCCAATCCTCTACCATTCCAAAAATTGATGTACAGCATGTCTCTCATAGCCGCTATATCATCATTTCTACCGAATCAGCATAGATTTTTTGTGTCACCAGCGTACGCTGCCACACTGGGGGGCGTCCATTACTTGTGAGTGTTGCCGCGGTGCGGCGTGCGGCGGCCGCGCGACGGCAATCACACCAGCTCCAGCGCGGACAACACGTCCACTCAGGTACACTGATCGGATTTGCGCGGGCTGCTCCCATCGATCTTTCAGAGCCATTTTTAACCTCTCATAATGTTTTTTCTTTCCTCTTTTTCTAAGACTTGCTTTCAGTTACTTCTTTTCGAGTTTATGTCACTAATTTCTTCGGGTATTTTGCTGTGTTTGGATATTTTGCAGTCTTTTCACGCCGAGTTCCATTAAGATTTTGTATTCAGAAATGCGTTTTCTACTTTATCAGCTAAACTCTTGGACAAATTGATTCGAATGAAGAATTCAAACGAAAAAGGTGATCATTTTTATTCACAAATAATACTGTTTATTGTTATTTTGTTATCAAGTGATCTTCTATTTTGTTGTTTGTTTTCAAAGTAAAGTTTATTTTTTTTGTACAATGTATTTTAGTGTTCTATTGTTCTGCTTTGTAACCTTTTGTTCTATATCTATTTGTATAGCGTGTTGTGTTTGTGCTATTCATGTGTGTTTTTCAACGATAAATATTTTATTATTCTCTATTCAAGCTTGAAGCAACTGTTTTCTGTTTCAAAGAAGTCTTGTGGATTGAAGATCCTGTAACGAACTCGAGAATGGAGAAAAAAGCGAGACTGGGGAACTAAACTAGAAAGCAATAGGGTCTCTCTAGTCGATTCTATGTTGATTTCTCCGTTACGAAACGTTTTTTTTTTCAACAATTATAATTTTTCATTATTAATTCTAATACAATTCTTATATCGGTTTATCTGCTATTTGGTTGTGGAAATTTTCTTCCATTGTCTTGCTAAGAAAGCGTTTTAATCTCTATTCTAATAGAAATGATCTCAATTCTTTCTGGAAAACCATATGCAACGCTGTAGAAATCTCCGTATTTGAAATACCAGGTTTTGATGTGCTCCAATCGTATAGTCTGACTTGACCTGCTCCAATGCTAAGCCGCGTCGCTGATGCCCACGCGTCGCGTACCTCGCTGTGCAAGTTGTCCGCGCACTTATTTGCCGCGCGCGGAGCGATATTTGGCACTCACAAGTAATGGGATACGCCCTGCCACACTGATCCGAGTATTTGCTTTTGACAAACTGAGCAGCTCTATAGTACAAATGTTGAACAGTAATGGAGAATGAGCTCCGCCTTGAAGCAGTTTCATGCTTAATCTAATTTCTTCCTACTAGTGCGGATCGTTAAGGTAGGTCTCAAAAAAGATTGCGTTGGTTCGGTCCTATGTTGTCTTTGAATGGGGATGATGGAGATGGAACAGCGAAAGTGCTATCAAGCCACGCCCAGATCCAAGCACCGCCCAGCCAGAGACTGCCTCCCGTCACGCATTGACATGGTAGTGAACACAAGCAGTTTTTGAAGCAACAGGAACGTCGGTAGTGCAACTGCACTCACGCAGTAGCAGTTGCTCGCCACTGGCATGCCGACGCAACGAGCGTTCCGAAACTCGCCCGCGCTCTCAAGACAGGTCCCAGGGATCGGGCTTTCTGGGGATTTTGAACGATTTGAACTTCATAACTGTAATCAGGGCCACGAGGAGGCAGCAGAATGGAGAGGTTTTTCTAACAGCTTTGGCGAAAGAAAAACTCCGATCCTTTAGGAAAATTAGCTCAATGTTTGCTTTTGATCCTTGTGCTCTCAAATTTGGCCAAAGTATAGGCTGACTAACAGAATGAAATGCTGAAGGGATCGAAATATACAACCTCCACTGGCTAATTATTACTCAATGTATCAATCCATTCTTGTCAGCATTTTGTTAACGAGTTGTCATAGAAGAACAGGGATGAACCATGTTGCTCCCAAGGAAAACTGTTTAGGTTGAGGCACCAATCTAAAGATATTTGGCAAGGTTTTTTTCCCATTATTTTGCAGGGCGTTGGTAAAATGCTAATAAATTCGAATTCAGAAACTTTAGTTGCATCCGTGCGTTCAGGTATCGGAACTACCATAGTTTGTTTCCAAAGATTTGGGATAATGTCAGTCATTGATGAAATATTGCAAATATGGGACAAGGGAACACTCAGCGCTTTGGCACATTTTTTAAAGGAAGGCTGGACTTTTTTAAGTGTTACAGACATGGAAGCTTTGGTCGCATTTAAAAGCTCATATACCTTACCACTCTAACACGGCTATAGATAGATCCTCAAAAGAGAGTGCCTTTGGTAAAGAACAGCCTAATATAACATCAGCGAAAGATTTTGGATTGTGTTGCGATAAAGTATTGACTTTATCATAAGCGGATAAGAGAATAAATTCACTTTCGTCCATCAATGCGGATCCCATCATGGTTCTTCAATTAGGCTAAAAAAGGCAAATAGTTCCCCTATGTCAATTGTATTTGCCACTTTCCGTTGTTGGTAGCTCCAAAAAACAGCATAAGTGATTATTTAGATGTCGACATATGGCTCTATATCAATCAGACTGGAGCGGGTTAAAGGTTTTATGAAATGGACTTCCCTTCTGTTGCAGAAGACCTTTAATTTGCATTGGGTATCTTATCTTAGCTTGATTTTCTTTACTTCTTTTGTGAGGAACGTAAGATACAACCAGGTCATGCGAAGTTGAGACAAATCTTGTGTATAGATCGTCATTGTATGCGTACTGATTAATAAATAAGAACAAATCCAATGAGAGAAGATGGATATCTATAGCGTCATATCGTCAAATTTTGCCTCTCCAAAGTTATGAGTGTTCTGCAGCATCGGTGCAGTAAAAGTCTATCGACATTCAGCTACCCATGGTCAGAGGAGACCATCGGCGAAGAAGTACCTCTAAAAGTAATGATAGACGATAAGGTCAAATTGATATCGAGTAATGATCAGGGTCAAGCAAGGGGTGTGGCACACGATCGCTGGTTACGACCCCCCCCCCTGATTGCTGTCTTAATAAGACCCCCCCCCCCCTGAACTATATACCTAAGATAGCATTACCAGAGTTGAGAAAGAGGTCAGGCACAAGTCTTTCGAAACCCCCCCCCCTCCCATGAAAGCCCTCAAACGACCCCTTCTTCCTCCGCTTAACCTCTGGACCTCAAAGTGTGACATTCTGGAGGACACCATCTTTTTCTAGAGAGTTTTCAGATTTCTGAGAATTGTACGCCCGATTTTCTGTGACTGCACTTTACAATCACTCGTAATTTGACGGCTGATTTTGATCTGAATGGGCATATTGAAAGGGCCATAATTTTCTTATGGGTGGGGCGTTCGGCTCCAAATTTCCAGTGTAGCAAGAAGAAGCTATGTGCTCCATACTCATAACAGCAGTGGAGCGCTTTCTGGATTTTGAAGGCAAGTTAAGGGGGTGCGGCACACCCCCTTAAAAGCTGCGGCAGCCGCAGCTTTTAAGGGGGTGTGCCGCACCCCATTAACTGTATCAAAAAAACATTTTTAGCGGACAGTATTTATATGAATCGATAGCCTAAACCTAGTAGATTCCATAGGACTGTTTGGAGCCTTATTTGTCTTCTTAGCTCTAAGTAATATTTGGTGAAAGCCAGCGATCAAAAGCGAAAAATGGGAAAAACGAGATTTTGGTTGGCTTCTAATTCCACAGTTTGCAGGTCTTCTGAAGCGGGATTCCTGAGGTGGACAAAGAAGGAGTAGTGCTTTGTCTTGAGTACAAAAACGGATAGTTATTAATTCACCTTTGAAACAAAGTTAACCATTTTGGAATTTGACCATTTCATTTGGGTAGCCTGGTATCTTGAATCTTCAGAATTCGCTCACACTTTGTCTACAGGGGTTAATTGACATGCTAATTATGGATATGATACGAATATCATGTTATCACTATTATCAGATTACCCAACTACGACCCCCTCCCCTTTTGACTCCTCAATACGACCCCCCAGGTGTGGCGTGCCGCACCCCACGCTTGACCCTGGTAATGATCCTTATTGCGTGCTATTTAAAAAAGTTGATATACTTCTTTGGGGATATTGATACTCCTACTATTAGTCCGGTTAAAATAGGGAGATCAAAGTCGCACTGTAGTTTGAATCGTATTTGTTGCAAGATATGCCAACAGCGATATTAACTCAATGTCTTTTTTGCTAAAGATATAAGGAAGTCAGTATGTTAGAATAGATTGATGTCGATACGCGTGATCAAGAAATACATCAAATGCCAAAACATCGGCCGAGGGCAAGGGATCAATAAGAATAATTTCGTACAAAAATCATGTAACAAGCCACAAACTCCTCCCTTTTTTCTGAGACGATCTTTTGGGGAGTTAGCCATGCTCAGTAGCAAAAGCTAGTAAAGGGTTTTTCAGTTAGTGATGAAGTTTCATCATCAGCTCGTTTGAGAGACTTCTGCTGTTACAAAGTATGGACAAAGTTTGTGAATGACCTCACGAGTTTGCGTGCCTACGTGTTTTTTGACAAAAAGTATTTGACATTATGAATGCCGCTGGCTTTCAACTCATTCCCATAAACGACATAAATTTACTTTTCATTGTGCTATTTCAAGTTAAGTTTGTGCGGCAGCCTCCGGAGCTCTTTATCTCTCATTCGCTCCTCTCATGTCATCAATTTTCTTACAAAAATGCAATCAAATTTTTCGAGAGTGCGAAACTGTGGAGCATGACGCACCGCCTGAAAGAGGAAACGCACAGAAGCAAGCCTTGATTACCTTTAGCCGTCCCTTCCAGTAAGCTCCTATGCGATAAACACTTAGGGCCGCATGCACTAACCTCCCCGCGGGGAGGAGATCGCAGCTTAAAGGAAAGCTTTATATTTCAAAACTCCAGATACCTGGATTTCACGTTGTGTACCTATCCGTAAGTATTCCTACTACCCTTCACTATGAACATGTTGAACAGGAGCGAGAAGCTGTACGAATCGCATTTTCCAGCTTTTGTATGATCCCTGATGATCCCCGGCGCTTTTCTTTGAAATCATTTTTCTTTCTCCGAAGTTAACGAAAAACCTCCAAAGTTGTGCAGATTATCTAAACCGACAGTGCTAAGCATGTTGCTGATAAGAACAAATGATGTTTTGAAGTCATGAAATTTTCGATGATCCACAGATCGAAATTTGAGGTTTGCCGGAAAATTCGACTTTTCAAAAACTCATTTGTTCTCATCAGCAACATGCTTAGCACTGTTGTGTCAGATGTTCAGTACGACTTTGGAAGGTTTTCGTTAACTTCGTAGTAAGAAAAATGACTTTAAAGAAAAGCGCCGGGGATCATCAGGGATCATACAAAAGCTAAAAAATGGGGTTCGTACAGCTTCTCGCTCCTGTTCAACATGTTCATAGTAAAGGGTAGTAGGAATACTTACGGATAGGCACACAACGTGAAATCCAGATATCTGGAGTTTCGAAATATAAAGCTTTCTTTTAAGCTGCGATCCCCTCCCCGCGGGGAGGTTAGTGCATGCGGCCCTTAGAGCGTGAACTTTCACCTGTAGCGTGTCAAGAACCCTTGAGACAGCACACTCAGTATGCTGAGCCCTTTTTGATGGCTCGAGTTTAATGGCTTCCTCAATCCCGTAAACGATAACGGAACGAGTTACTTCAGTCTATGCGATCGCGCGCGAATCGGGGTCAGCAATTGGATCATTTGGTTGAAAGGCAGCGGAGCTTCGGACGCCTTGTTGCTTAGTATTGAATGAAGCTGACTGATTACCTCGTCCTTCAGAAAAGTAGGCGCGGAGCTAACGGAATTAGAATAATCAGCAGTAGGGACAGTAGAAATTGTTTGCGCTATCGAAACAGATTTGGATGTTTTGGCGGATTTGCAAAACTAATTGAGAGGGTAAGGCAGAACGGCTGCATGTCAGGAGTTACGCCGCGTGCGGCGGCCGCTCTTCTGCACACGCCGCGCTCAAATCTTGGGGCCTACAAGACTCCCCGCCAATAGAGATTCCAAAAACACAAAAACACTGGGGTGAGGGTGGGGGCAGATACATAACTTGATGCTACAAGTAAGACTGCGCCAGAAGTGCTGCTGTTGTAAGGACCGAAGTACGTTGCGGCGTCGCTTCGCAAAGGATTCGCGCCGATCGTATCTCCTGACCGTCCCCCAGGCAGAACTAAATGATGAATCGACCTCTCAATGCGAAGATACAGGGTACATATGACTTTTTGATGACGAAATTTCTCTATTTTCCAGGTGTGATCTCAAAAAGAAAAAGGATAATGGCTCACACAACCATTTCTTTTTCACGCCTCGTTTGCAAAATAATAGTTTGCCTAAATGTTTTCTAACATTTCTGTAAAGCTTGTACTTTTAAGCATGCCGCTTTTGCTGCGAATCGTAGAAGAGGCGTGAAGCAGTTCCGCATTTGTGTTCTATTCCCGTTGCAAAGAATTTCTGAATAGGAATAGAAGCTCTTACACGCGCTAGCGAACTAGCCGCAGTTTCTTTCAGTGATGGGGTAGAGGACTATATGTCGTCTAATGTGGAGATCACGAAGAGAAATAATTGAATGGAGCTGATGTGCATTTTGACTTTGCGAGAACAGAGCTCCCTAGCTCTCATAGCTATCGCTAAATTTGGTAATAAAAAGCGATTGGTCTCGCTGTAAACCGCAAACCTATAAACTGCTGCATGACGAAGGCGCAAATCTTTGGGCGCGAACGCGGCTTTATTAGCCGCAGAGCGCATGAGGCGCAGGATTTACAACGGTGAAAAACGCGCGTGTAGTCCCGCTCAACTAATGCTGCTTCTGCGCCTCCGTCAGCAGTTTTATAATACAGTACCTGGAAAATCGCTAGAAACATTAAAATGGGAAACTCGTCAACAATCAAACAATTCGCGAATTCTTTTCAGAGACAACTTGTGTTTACCTCAGCACTAACTTTGCTCAACAACCGCCGCAAGTCCACAAATTTTTTGCTTGCAATGAATATTACCCTACACTTAATACACATAAATTTCTGAATGTGAAAGAGTTAGGCAAAATAGAACTTGAAAAAAAATTTCTGTTTGAAAATCAAAGCCTACTCGGAAGAAAATGCAATTTTAAGCTAGTTAGCTTTACAATTTGAGAGAGTTTTAGACATTCAATGACTGGCTGGCCGTCGCCAATAACAAAATTCCTGAAAGTCCTCCGAAGGTGATTGAAGCAAGATATAAGGACGCATTTTTGCTGAATGGATATACGGAACTATATCAGGTAAAGGAATTTATTGCTCTAGCAACGTTCACTCCCAAATGCTGTGAACAGTGAATTTTACATTAAGTTTACATTAGGATTACAATGTTACTTCGGCTTTTCGAAGAGACATTTTTTAAAAACAGTAGCACGGCGGAAGTGCGGTCCAACCTCTTAGCATTTTTGGGACCTTCATTGTGTCAAGCTCAATATTATACTTAACAACTTTGAAAAATTATGTTGCATTTTGCTCACCCCAGCATCGCTTATCGCGAGTTTGACGTAAGCTGCGAAGATGCAAATGTTTCTAAACTGAGCACGTACAAAGGATTTAGGGGTACACAAAGTTAAGAGAAATCTGAGGCCTTTAACGTTGCCCTTGTCACTTGACATTGTATTCCGACACTACGACCCACTGGTGTGTCGAAGTGCCCTTTGAGACAATAGGACCCACCTGTGAGTCGTATGCTTTCTGAAGTTTTTGGTTTTGCTAGTTTACGATCAAAATTTCTGGCCAAACTAAATAAGTTTTTGGTTTTGCTAGTTTACGATCAAAATTTTTGGCCAAACTGAATAAACTTCAGTAGATCCCTCTTACAGGGGAAGGATACCAAGATTAGTCAGCGATGAAGAAGGGATGTATATTGGTAAACGTGCCTTCGAACACTGATTTCAAATCTGCTTTCCTCTTTTTTCGGAAAAGGTTTCCGAAAGAAGTTGAGCGTTTGAATGTCAAATTTGCCAAGCATTGAGTGGCTTAAAATCAACGAGCTCTGACACAGCAATTATGCGATTTCCACCGGCCTTGTTCCTCCCTTGCAAGCAGTATGTACGTTTGCAAAGGAGGAACAAGGCCGGTGAAAATCGCATAATTATTGTGTCAGAGCTCGTTGAGTAAAACTGGTACTTCACTTTTCGCTGTTTCGTACAGCTTTTCGTCAATTCTAGGCCACTAAACTTTGACAAATTTGGATTTTCAGCGCTCATAGCTTCTCTCGGAAATTTGCTTGGCAAAAAAGGAAAGCAGATTTAGAATTAGCGTTTAAGGGCGCGTCTACTAATATACATCTCATCTTCATTCGCCGACTAATGTTGGTATCCTTCCCTGTTTAGAATAATTCTTGAGAGATTGACACTTCAGATCATAGGCCCATGGCCAAAAAATATTACGCAAACACAATATTGTGAAATGTGTCCTGGACCGAAATGGCAGACATCGAAAAATCGTTCTTGTCGTGAATGTGTTAAGGCTAAATCAGCGCTTAAGACGTGGTTCCCAATAAGTTTTTCAGAAAATACTCCTTAACTTTTTGAAAGCTTGCGAGAGTACTTTTGAGACATTTATGGCGTAAGACTTCATAATAACCTGCAGTGAGTGATGGAAAAAGAGAAAGCAAAGACATAGAGAAATTGAGAAAGGGAATAATGACGATTTGAATCATGAGAGAAGGGACGGTAAAAGAGAACGAAGCTTTCGGTTCAGACACTAGTAAATCACTGATGGTGAACAGTCGTTTCACGTAAAAATATACGAAAGTTTGCAGGAAAAAATCAATAGTGCCTTTATTTCAGTTCCACATCAAGGAGAAACCGTATCACTGCCACTAACTAACCTTTAATTCAACTAACTTAGCCGCCGTGTGGCGGAACTTTCTGCCCGATTTGAGGACGCTCGCGGCCGCGACACAATTTGCATCCCTGTCCTCTGATCATTATCTAGCCTTAATCAGGTCACGAAGCCCCGTCTTCCAACCGCCAAGCCAATTGAATCAAAGGGTAGCCTTCATAAACTTTTAAGCACCTCATTTAAAGTAATCCTATGCGCTGCGAAACTTGACCTTGTCGTTGTTATCGCTTTAAGCGACTTTTTATTATCTTTGGTAAATTGTCGTCTGTTCAAGCCTCTGAGGATGTTAAGTAAGAATAAGTGCGCGAATGTATACAGACAGACGCTTCGTTGCCGGTGTTATTAGATAAAACGCTTGTAGTAAAGCTGTTTCAATAAGAATGCTACACGCGCCTGATTTCTTCGAGACTCCCTCGCGAAGATCTCGCGTTTAGTTTCGCCGAGTTTCGCAAGGTTTTAGCGAGATAGCTAAGGCTGCGTTCATACCGATCCCGAAGTTCGGGAACAACTCCAGCAAAGCGCTTAAAATGAGCTTTGTGCTGGGACTGTTACTGGATTACGTAATCAGTATGAACGCAGCCTAAGAGGGCCAAAGCCGCCAGCAGTGACATTAGTTGGGGCCGCCCATATTTCCATGAAGCTGTTACATTTCAAAAGCGGAAGTGTACAGCGCATTTCTTACGTTGGTTCACTTTGTTCACTTAATCTTTTTCGAAAATTAAAATGATGAGCGCACTTTCTAGCTTGTTCCATTTGATTAATTTGATTTTCTATACATGTTTAACAAATTATAGAGCCAAATTTCGTTCCAAAACGGATGAATGAAGTGGATCAAGTGGGTTAGATATGGTGTGTACTTTAATAGCCATTCTTGGTCTCGTGCACGTAGCCGCTCTATGATAGTTTCCGAAAATGTCCTAAGCATGGTTGGCACTTTACTTACTCTCGTGTTAGCATGTCCTTCTTGGCTATAGTAGAGAAAGCATATTTTTACCAAATCTACAAAAAAAAATTAGCAAATTTTCAGGGCAAAAGTGTGTTATAACATGCCCCTCACTCTAAAGTTCATCCATGCCACGGTTCAGCTTCATACTTCTACAAGTGAAGTCGTCATACAAGTGTACGTGTACAATAATGCGGAAAATATCGGCAACGAAGGGTGAAATACATATCCTCTAAAAACGACGCTTCACCTCTGCACACTCACCCAACGACCCCTCTTTCCTTCCTTTTACATGACTCACAAATTGACATTGAGCGAAAACCGTATGTCTCAAGATCCTATTTCCAAACTATGGCTCAGTTTTCTGCAGTCGAACATATACATGCACTGTACGACAGAATTCAGTGATGTTTAAAATGGTATAACGAATGCTCAAACATAATTTTTCTCACGAATGATGGGCTTGAAACCGATATTCTACAATGGCAAAACCAGGTTGTAATCGTATTAGTCATACAAAATGGGACGTTGTGCTTAATTTTTTGCCAAACAGATTTTTATGGTAAATCTTTACCGTCTGACGTTTCGACGAGTATCGTCATTTTCTAAGCCCTACAAAGAAATTGCAGTTTTGGAGATTGTCAATTTACAAGATCAAACGCTTTCTTTGATTTGTGGCGTTCAATACTTGTTTCGGTACAGGCATTGGAAGACAAACCGATGGTACTCACAAACCTTTGATGCTGTGAAGTCACTGGGGATAGGCCAGCCATAAATAGTCTATGGGTAATGTCAACATAATGATATAGCAGGAGGTCGTTTGTCATCGCCACGCACTCATTTTGTTGGTTATTTCCTGATTTCGGGTGATAGGTGATAATACTATCTTCATCGTCTTTAACATCGAAAGTTTGATTAGACCATTCAAAAGCTCTGCGAACGCGCAAAAAATTTTGTAGTGAAATAGCATGCATAGAAAACTTGTCACACAAATTTTCATTTCTTGAAGTTTTTTTCGAACGGCCTTCACAGTGGTGCCATATGCTACGAGTTCCTACCGTAATACTACAGTAACGAAGGGAAAGGGAGACCCGTATTTTGCTCCATACCTGAATCTAAGTCGAAGCCACTTCTAAGGAACAATACCTAATTCTTTCCGAATCTCATGACAAGAGAGTTCAAACAATAGGAACATTTTTGGGACACAACGTATTAGGGTTGGCTCGAAAGTTCTCGGACATTTTTAGATTAAATCTACTATTCTTGTGGAATCTAATGCATGTACATTGTCGAAAATTTGCAGCTTCATTCTCGCCTGTAGCTGAGATCCAATCAAATAGGAGGATTTTAGGACCAATGTGACCGGAGTCTGCCACTTTTCAATTTCCTCGTTTTTCTTGTCGTTCAAGCTCAGATTCCATACAAACCGTGCATTTAAGTATGTAAATATGTGTATACTGTAGATTGAAGCATTTAGGGGTTCCTAACGCTTATAGAAGTTAAAGATCCGGGTATAAGTCAAAATCCTAGGTTTGACTTTTTTGCCTGAATTTTCGTAGAAAACATTAAAAACGCTTATGCTTACCATAATTTTGTAGAGATTGCTTTCTCTATGCAACGGTATGCAGCATGCCCAATCAGTGTCTACATCGAAACAAAAACCTTGTCGAAATGCGGTGTTCGAGAAATTTCGAGCGTATTTTATATTAGAATGTTCCAAAAGTTCTATCCCACTCGCAAATTTTCTGATTGAAATTGTTATAATTCTCTTCAAAATCAACATTTGAACAAATTAAATTGTGTTGGAAAGCACAGTATGACGCAAAAACAAAGCAAGCGAGAGAGTAGAAAAAATTTGGGGAGTTTTGCAGAGTTTCTTTCAAAACCATCCACTTTGACGTACAAATGCTTCCATGTAAGGATACGCGGGCATATTTGTCCGCCACCATCGAGTACCCTATATTTCAGAGAATCCTTCATGACCAAAAAGAAATCGAGCTATCTTTAGTGTACAGAAATTTTTACGAGCAAATCAAAAAAAATCCATATTTGAGCCCTCCTCAGCGCCGCAAAGAAGTCGACTTTCTTGTACTAGATTTTTTCTTGCTGCCGCGAACGAACAAAGCTAACTGGCCGACGGTTCCCGCTTGCTCTCGCTTTACTCTACCGTATGCATTATCAAGTGTAGCATCGTTCGCTGTACTTAGACTGTTGTTGCTTTTTGAACAACTGAGTTTGTCTTCCACCTTTGAGAAAAAAATGGAAAAGTAAGACGTTCGCTTTGGTAGAGGTAAAGTGTGCGTGTGTTAGCCCATTACACCCTGACCCATTATAAAATATTACAAATTTAATTCTACGAATACTGCGTAAGTTCTCTTTATAGAAACTTTTCTTGAGCTTGTTGGCAGTTTGGCAGTTTGGCTTCGTTCGGGTCTGAAATTTCGCTGAGAG